ACGAAGGACAAAATACATTTACATTTTATTAAATACATTTACAAAATGCGATATACGAGCGCTGATGCAACTGAGACAAATTTACAAGAGACAGAAAACTTTTACAAGTCGCCACACACACATGTACAAACGACAGCATCCATCCAGAAAGGGAACGTACCAGAAAACTAGAAGTGACTCAGAAGTGAGCAGTCAATTCCTACGTTTTAGCAGAAAGATTCAGATAACAGTCTCAAACTGACACACATCACCCGGTCACCTGAAACTCTGTATAACAAATTTGCACAGTCTTGCTTTTGCTTTTTTTTTAAAGACAATGAGAAGGCATCCTCACACTGTCTCACTTATTACTGATACATTTGATCATACAACGTTTCAGTCTAACTGACCTTCATCAAGTATAATGGCAGCAACAAACCATTTCTATGTACATATACACCAAAGAGACTGCCTCAGTTTTCAATCACCCAATCAGACAGCCACTCAGATTGACACTTATGCTGCATTCATGTGCTCCTCGGATGGTCCCAGTTTCCGAGAAATGGTTCTCAAACTTCAGAGCAACAACAGCAACAAACATCGTGGATGCTACGAAGAAAATGTATGAAATGTCTCTATTAAAGTTAAATTAAAGCAAAAAGTTCATGTGCAAGTATCTTAACATTAACAAAACATTGTTTTCTGAGATGTTGTTCCGACTTGAGCAGGCTGTCACGACCCGGCCTGACAAAACCACGGCAAAGTTTATAACCAGAATACAACAAAACATGTTGCAGTTCAGGAGCTGTGGTGATGGTGTGATGCTGAGAATGGATGAGAGACGGAATGAGAGGCTGACTGCCTGATCTTAAACAGCCTACACCTGAGAGACTGATCATGTCTGTCCAGGTGTGACAGAACACCGCCCACCAGCAACCTGCGGAGACATGAACACACAGACACAAGGGCAAAACACAATAGCAGGCCCTGCTGGTGGGAGGGCCATCATCACAAAGCGTTCACGTGCATTTTACAACTCGGAACCTAGTTTTTACGATGTGCCCGACACCACATGAATGCACCACAAGTCCATCATCAGCCAGGGAAGAGTTCAAAGGTCACAATTAAGCACAATAAATGTTGAACATTCAGGTAACCTTCTACCCAATGAATTAATATTAATTAAAAAAAAAAAAAGAAGTTAAATATATTATCCAAAATGTTAATTTGTCTCAAGCTTTGTCAAAGTGTTTCACACACTTAAATTTTGTTTTGTTCTTCCCAGATATTTGAAAGGTAGATAGATAGATAGATAGATAGATAGATAGATAGATACTTTATTGATCCCGAGGGAAATTCCAAGCATCCAGTAGCAGGTTACAAAGACATGACATGAAACATTTGTTACAAATTAAGCCGCAAAAAGAGCTGCAAAACCGACCCCCCTCCCCCCGGAGGCCACATGCGGCCCTCGTCAACCCTTAATGTGGCCCTCAGGTCAATTTTTTTGCTCATTTCAGTGTTTGGTTTCAACACAATAAAATACAACAAAAAACATTTTTCTTATAATGCTGAAACGCTGTTCGTGAGCAAACAGGAGCAGGAAGAGGGAAAACTTATAATACCTGCCCCCCCTTTTCCTAATAACACAAGAGACTGTTTAACAGAATAAGATGGCTAACCTGTTGTTTTCTCTTTCTTTCACAAAACAAAAAATAGATCAAAAATATAGAAACATCAAATACAATCAGTTAGATTAACTCAATACATTCATCATTTCCCAGAACCTTTTCTTTATACATTCTTTTAAATTGAATGATACTTGAGCAGCATTTTAAATGAGTATCGAGAGAATTCCATAATTTAACTGAGATACACATTTTGTTTTAATGTAGTGCGTGCAAATGGACTTTTAAAATTAAACCTCCGTCTATGATCCTCCTCATTAGATGTAAATATAATCTCCAAATATATCAAAACATGAAGAAAACATGACAAAATCTGCCATGAAATCATGAAAAACAAAAATATTTCCATAATTATATTTGATCACTGGTATATGTTGAGTTAAATTTGAGACATAATTGACTGTAATCATTTTTGCATTCTACAATTTGGCCCCCTGACAGTCAGAATTAAATGAATGTGGCCCCTCGCTGTGACCAAAGTTTCCCCTCCCTGCCCTCAAAGAAACAAACTTAAACTGTGCAATTAAAAAGTAGACTTCTACAATAACCCGTGCAGGGATAAAAATAAATGTGTAATTTAAAGCAAGAACCTTTAAACAGTTGAGGGAAAAAAATCTGTAATTAGACCTGAATATAAAAAATAAAGAAGTGTTGACCTTCTGAAGTTGTGTTGTTTATACATGTACAGCAATGTTAGGTACTATATAAATTAACTTGCAGTGCCTTAACTGTATTTATGATCCACATGAGTTAAAGCCTATCACACTGTTCTTAAATTAATTATAATTTAAGAAATAAAGGTCTGTGAGGCTCAAATCAACTGCACAGTTTTCCACGTTACAGAGTACCTGAACGCATCATGCTGACAGTTAATGAACATGACGAGCCAGCGGCAGTTTGTGTGTTAACAATCAACAGCTGGAGTGCAAACACTTTGAGTGGACAAGCTGAGAAAGCAAAGTAGTGTGTTGACAAAGAGGCCAGCTTAGTTGTGGACACGTTTTTACCCCGCAGGTCTCCTCTACTTCCAGAGAAACGTTTCCAAACCGTCCCCGCTTCAGGCTCTCATCACACCGTCAAGCTGTGACGTTAGCATGCGAGCTAACGTTAGCGCAGACGGCTGGCTTCGCACACCGGCAGCCCCTGCGGACGGTACACTCACCGTGCTTAGTTGACACTGCAGCCTTCAACGGTACAGTCTGTGACCGAGCTGCCGGCCCGGTGTCCCGCCGGTTCGTCCAGGCTCTGAAGTTTGAGAACCATTTCTCCAAAATGTTCTTCCCATCGGAGCTCTCCTGCAGCGGCAGACAGCGACGCGTCCCCTTTAAGAGGATTCCAGACAGACGAGGCAGACTTCGGCCGACAGGAAATACATTAAATAAATAATTAAAAAAAACATTTACAAACAACGATTTATCTTATGAAAGCAATATTAAAAACTGAAGATTCATTAAAAGTAAGGAAGTAGTGCATGAAAACTTCATCAGCAGTCGCAAAAGAACTTTATTTCACATGTCAGTTTTGTTTGTGTTTTAAAATACTCGTTTTTCTTTTTGTGTATTTAGATTTTTTTTTGGATAACTTTTTTATTCACTACACTAAGCATTTGTTTCTGACTTATTCAATCATAAAAATAAATCATAAAATAAATGTATTATTATTCAGTCTTTGTCTTCTCGTTGTAATGTAAACATCGTCCATTTCTCTTAAAGTGAGTCCTCATTCTGTTTTATCATTCACCATGTTTGAATTTTCTATTTTTTATTAAAAATGCCTTGAATCTGTTTTATAGGCTAATGCCACGACTTCTGTGGGTTTGTATTCTTGTCCATATTTGTTTGCATTGGTTTCAATGTACAAGCACAAAAGTAAAAAATGAGACTTGGTTGTTCAAATGACATTTGTACAAAAAGTTACTTGGTGAAATATCCAAATATAAACCAGAGTTTCCTCTCAAGACATTCAGAACTTAAGTTTGAGCAGAAAATAACATGTCCCTTGTATTATTGACATTATTATTGACATTGGAACATGTTGCAAAAAGACTGAACTGAATGCTTTTAAATCCAGGCTGAGAGCACTTGAGACGACCTCCTTTACTTGTAACTGTTTTTTATCATTTAAATTGCTGTCTGTATGTTGTGAGTGTGACTGTGTAACAGGACTCCCTTGAAAAAGAGGTTTTTAATCTCAATGAGACTTTTCTGGATAAATAAAGGTTAAATAAAAATAAAATAAAAAACATTATTTATCTAAAACTGAACATTTAACGGTTTCGTTACCTGAAACATTTCAAACTAATCATTAAATATTCTTTAATTCTTCTGTAAGTCCGACCTCCATGGGCTTCAACAGCACTACCAGCTCAACTAAAACTTCCAAAGTGTCTGCATCCTGTACCCAGCATGAAGAGGCACTTGATAAGTTAAAGGCCACTTTTCTACTGATTCTTTCTCTCCACTTGTCCCACTCTCAAATCACCTAATTTAACAACACACACACACACACACACACACACACACACACACACTCACTCACACGCACACTCACATCACACACACACACTCACACACACACTCACACACACACACACACACACACACACTCACTCATACGCACACTCTCACACACACACACACTCACACGCACACACACACACACACACACACACACTCACTCATACGCACACACACACACACACACACTCACACACACACACACACACACACACACTCACTCATACGCACACACACACACACACACAACTCACACACACACTCACACACACTCACACACACACACACACACACACTCAGATTTCACACATTTTTTTTTATATTCAGGTCTAATTACAGATTTCTTTCCTCAACTGTTTTTAGGTTCTTGTTTAAGTGTCACATATATTTTTATCTCTGCACGGGTTATGTACATTTCTTGTATAAGTCTATTTTTAATTGCACAGTTTAAGTTTGATTCATCTAGAGGGATTCTTTAAATCTTTTTTTCGGGTTAATATATATGTATGGGGGGGGGGGGTCAGTTTTGTGGTTTAATTTGTAACAAATGTTTCATGTCATGTCTTTGTAACCTGCTACTGGATGATTTGAATTTCCCTCAGGATCAATAAAGTATCTATCTATCTATCTATCTCTATATCTATCTCTCTATCTACCTATCTCTATATCTATCTACCTATCTATCTATCTATCTATCTATCTATCTATCTATCTATCTATCTATCTATCGGTCTATCTATCTATCTACAGTACAGCAGCGCCACCGTGTGGTAATATTGAGTACTACCACAAACTCCTCTCCCGGAAGACACCACTTTTGGAAGTTACTAAATGACCATGAACACTGATTGAAATGGCGTCAGTGACGGTACGGGGCTCGGCTCTCTGCACCGCGTCTCTGCTAAACTTTGCATTTGTTTTCATTTCCGGTGCAGACTTTGTTCGGTTCATTTCTTTTCGAGCAATTTACCACAACATTACCGGGGAGACGACCCTGTGCCAAGGTGAGCTTTCCACACGCCGCTGGCAGGCGACCAGGAAAAGTTAGCTAACGTTAATGGAGGAGTTATCAGCTGATAGCAGAATGCTTCATTACTATAATCTAGTTATACTATGGCTGCACAATATATAGTGTTTGATTAAAATAATGTTTAATGAAGAATCAATGTGTTTTAAGTAGCTCAGGTATATACACCTTTTCCTGTACCTAAGGGGGGCGGTAGTAAAACAGCAGCAAGTATTGGATCCATATAAATAGTTGATCTACTTGATATTACACCTTCTGGCCACTAGAGGTCAGCGCCCGGCTAGCTCAGTCGGTAGAGCATGAGACTCTTAATCTCAGGGTCGTGGGTTCGAGCCCCACGTTGGGCGAAATTCCTTTTCCTCAAACGTGGGAATTACTGTTAGGATCAAAATATAGGAATTTAAACACATTTATTGTTGAACATTTTAAACCTCTCTACTCAAGTAGAAACTTAGAAACGGGATTAACCGTCCTGTTAGTCCTCCTTTCACTACCGAACTAATGAAACGAATAAAACGAACTTCGATTTGAGTTGGTTCAGAGCGTTTATTTTGTCGGTTCGAGCCGAACAAAGGGAAGACAATAAGAAAATAAAGGGGGTAGGAAAAAAAAAAAAGATTTAAGGAAAAATATCATTGTATACGATTAATTTCTTTGAATTTCTCTGTTCAGAGGTAGGGGCTTCGTGAGACAGAAAAAGAGGTCTAGGTGTAGGCTGAAGGTGTAGAGGGTCCAGGTTATGTAGCCTATCATGAAGGTTTCTGTGGCATGTTTAATGCTTGAATGCTGCTGGACAGTAGGCTATTTGTGTGTCCTTCAGTATTAGGCCGAGGCTTGTTGCATTGTCCAAAAAGGACAAACCAGCACATCATTTATTCATTTATATGCTGAATACAACTTTAAATACAACCTTTGGTTTTATTTGAGTAGGCCTACTTTATTTATTCTGTTCTAAAAATGTAAAATCTACTGAACTTAATAAGTTGAGCATTTACAGGCTTGTAAGGCTTAAAAGATAAAAGATGAATTCACTGTGTTAGTGGCCTTTTGCTGTCAAAATCTACACCTCAAGTTTTAGAAACTCAAACTCCATCGGCATACAGAGGAAGGAAGTAAATTTAAACAGAACCAGAGCCATGCTATCTTGTGGTCAAATGTAAAGCTTATCAAGCAGTTCAACACTGACAAAGCAGACAAAGCAACCTGTTCTTGTCATATCCTATTGTGATTTTCTTCTGATTCCCACTCCTAAATGTATTGCTTATTTTAACAGGGACAGCTCACAATTACATGCAATTGCACCAGCGTTTTTTTTTTTCTTCAAATTATTCAGATTTAAACTCTACAATAAAGTGACCTTTCTTCTCTTGTTCACATCATTTGCATTCACATTTTTCAGACTCTGTACCTTGGTCAGAGGCCCTGCAGGACAGCTCTGTGCTCTGGTCTCTTGTTGTGGATTTGGGGCTGCTGGCTCTCTTCACCACACAGCACAGTCTGCTGGCCTGGTCTCCTGTCAAACAGGCCCTGCAGTCAGTGCTGGGAGCCCTAAACAGGACGGCATACTGCTTCACCACTGCACTGACCCTCCAGGTGCAGCAACACACACTCTCAAAGTTTATAAAATGCTGCTTTTATCTGCTGCTGTTGTGGACGACAAGTTAACTTGTTATATAAAGTTACTTTAACTGTTGTGTTGACTTAACATTGGACATGTTGTTTCTTTACACCACTCTGCATCATTATTCTTTTTCCTCTCATATCAGATTTTAATGCGTTACTGGCAGCCTGTGACCAGCGCCCCCTGTCTTTGGTCGGTACGTCATGCACCCTGGAATATCTGGTTTCCTCTGCTCTGCTTCACTCTGCACTTCCTCTGCTGGACAATCATCTGCAGCATCCTCATGATCTTTGATTGCCCAGAACTGCTGGGCGTCAAGCAGGTAAACAGGTATTCATTAGTGGGCTGTTCTTTGTCTACATAACAGGAAACAGTAAACACCAGGTTCAGTTGAATTCTCTATTTTGTGAATATAAAACCTAGATTATGTATCCTAAACACAAGGCCACCAGACTTCTTATTAACAATCTTACAACAAACTTTTAACAGTTTACATTTTTAAGCTTATCTCAATTATTTTAGGCTAATCTACGGTGGCTGGGAAGTGTAAAACAAAAGTACAAAGTGTAAAAACACTTTTACAAAGCTAGAGACAAATTTACATTTTTGGAAAACATTTTAAACTTTTTATTAAACATCTCCTTTGTAATCTGCAGCGTTACTGTAATAGTAGCGTAAAATCTACATTATTATAAGTGAATACAAATACAGTCCTTTTTAAAAGTTTATAAAAAATAACCACATTAAGTCGAGCTCTGATTTTGTAAATTTTTGATGTGATGGAAACATTATTATAAGATTTTTATTTTGTTGCTGATTAAAATGTATCAAGCATCATCTTCTATATTAAGTAATTTATGATCATTTTAATTTACTTTGAGAATGCTGGGCCGTCAGTGAGGTTTAACTGTGTGTCACAAAAAGTGCAAAATCAGGAATTTTAATTAAAAAGAACACAACCGGAGAACAGCTAATAACATTTAAATAAATATTGATCATAATGTCTTTATTAAAGAACAAACTGAGTGTGACAGGGATTGTGTTGTCTGTGGGAGTAATTCAGTGAACCTCTAGAAGTTACATGAATAGATAAAGATAAACTTTATTGATCCCCCATGGGGGAATTTTTTTCATTACAACAGCTCAAGAAAACACAATTTAATATAATTATTAAAAATAACAAGAAGTCAAAACTCAAACATACGTACATCAGTTAAATAAAGGGAGAAAATTGACACATGATTGGTGCAGTTTCTTAATCTAACGCGTCCCTCTGTTCTCTCAGGTGTATTATGAGTGTCTCGGTTTAGGCGACCCCTTGTCTCAAAAGTCACCGGGTGCTCAGCGCTTCTTGTCTCACCTCCGTCACCCTGTGTGTCTTGAGCTGGGCGTGGTGCTGTGGCTCTTGCCCTGTTTGTCCCTGGATAGACTCCTGCTGGCGGGGACTCTGTCAACCTACCTGGCTTTCGCACACTCCCTGGACACACAGGATTTAGCGTACATGTGTGCTCACTTCAACAGTAAGATGCAGATCTTAACTGAGCCGCAGCGGGGCAGCGCTGACACCTCAGAGCGGGACAACGGCAACCACACGGAGAAGTGAAAGTCCTGTCACTGCTGTGATGAGAAGCTGAATGCTGTCTAACTATTGACCTGAAATGTTGAGTCTGGTAATCTGCTGTGCTGAATAAGAACAACAAACAACAAACGTGCTCAGGTTATTTACTGCAAATAATATATGACCACAAGCCGCTAAACACTGTATTTACTGTTTTTAATTGCATGTGTGGAGATTTTATTTTAATTTTATCCAACAGTTATTGCACTACATTCTGAAATGAACCCTCAACATATAACTTTAAAATTTAATTATAATTTACCATGTCATATATTGTCATAAACTGTTACATTCAATGTGCTACTGCAGGGATGATGTGAGGTTTTTCTCTCCATAAGTGAATATGGAAATAGAATTGCACACAATTAAAAACATGAAATGCAGATTTGAATTTTAGAAAAATGCAGCTACAGTTTAAAAACAACCCTTTTTGAATGTTTGAGGTATTGAATGTATTTCTTAACTTGCTTTTGATTGTGTTTTGGAAACACAAACATCATAATGTCTTTTTTTTCCCAATCTATCTGTTACAATTCATCTTACTTTATAACCCAAGTAACTTCATTGAAAAGTGTTTTCCTGAATGTTTGTGTGTGAGTGTCTTGACTTTAAAGTAGTGTAATATTTGATTTGTACGTTGAATGTGAGTGTTAGTTCACCTGTCTCTACATGGGGGATTCACTTCATGCAGTATTTTCAAGACCATGTTGAATAAATGTAGTACATACTCGTGTCACAGCGTATTATGTCTGTTTATTCCACTTGTCAGGTCTTGTTTAGCATACATTAGTTCAGTTTTGTGGTTAGTTAGGTACACCCAGTACAATTCAAAAACGTCATTTGCAATTCAAAGCTGCAGGTAGACAAAATATTTAAACCAAAAATGTGAAGTGTCCATTTAAAGACAAAAGGTAAATAACAAAGTAGATAAAAAGAGTAGATATGTGTGGCCAGTGATCGGACTAACACATGTAAACAGAACTATATGCTGTAAATGGGAATTAAATAAATATATAGCCTGCTGTATATTTTGTCTTAATGAGGGTTTAAATGGGTAAGGCAGGGGACATTAATGTTAGTCCTGTTAAAACTCATTTTATCAGGACTTGGCGTTATTGGAAGCACGCTACATAACGTCTGATCAGGTCTGCTAAACGCCTGTAGCTGTGACATCACAGCACGTTTCCCCCTCAACCTTAACCTCCACCTCTTTTCCAATTAGCGCAGCGGGACGGAGGGATGAGACGAGGGAAGGGGGGAGGGGCTGGGTGGGGGATTGGTGGTGGTGGTGCCCGGGCAGACGGCTGTGTACTTTAAACGCCTTTTCTTAGGTCCGACAATATGGTGTGTGCCACTAAACTCTCCTGACGGAATTTAATGTAATTATCGGATTACAGTGCTGCCGCTCTGAGGCTGGAAATATTTACTACTATTCTGACGACGGAGGCGTTTTCCATCTCTGTTGTTTCGTCAGGTTGGGAAGTGATTTGACTGGGCCGGACAGCGTTTTTAAACCCTTAGGGTTGACAACATAGATACATCTATTAGTTATTGGCACAGGGGAGTGTTCATCGAGGAGTGGAGCGCCTTACGCACAGCCAAGACGCACAAGTGGAAATGATACAGTGAGGTCTTTTGGGTGAGTTTGATTCAACACTTTTATCACAAATATTTCACTAAAGTAGAGAACACGTTCACAATGTTCTGTTTAGTTCATTTGAGGAACCTTGAGTTTGTGTAAAGTAGTAAACCACAGGTAAAACAGAACTGAAGGTTATTGGTAAAATAATAAATAAAACAAAATTGACAGTAAAGTTAACATGAAAGTTGTGGGGTTGATGGGTTTTTAGTGTTTTATGACTTCAAAGGTCACTATAGGTGGTGTAAATATGTTTATACGTTGTTATTTTGTTTTATAGAGAACTCATACTTAATTTCCTCTTATGCAGAACATTCCCAGAGGCTGTGAAGACCGTCCCCGCCCCCTTGTCCAAAAGCGATTTCTGTTATGTCTGTCTCCTCTCTGCCGGAATGGAAGCAACTCCTGCTGGAGAAAAAGAGGAGAGAGGAGGAGGAGCGCGAGAGGAGAGAGAAAGAGGAGGAGGCCAAGTTTGCCAGCATGCCTGCCTGGAAGCGAGGGATCATCCAGAGGAGGAAGGCGAAGCAGGACAGTTTGGGCGACAAAGAGAAGGACAGGGATGTCTGTCTGCTGCAGGTGGATGCAAGGTGTCCCTCCGATTGTCTGAGTGACACAGACAGCTTCATAACGGTCAATTTTGGAAGTGATTTGTCACTTAGTCCAGATCCAGGGCAGTGGCTGGAGGCAGAGCTTAAACCAGCGAGTCAGGTGTCTGTAGAAACAATAGTTCCAGTCCATGAAAATCCATTTATACGCACGCAGAGTGCAAAGAGGAAGGGGAGAGACGCAGAAGCAGGGACTGAGCAGGAAGCTAAGGAGAGGGACAAAGACAAATCGAGCCCCAGGAGTCAAGAAGTGGAGTCAGGAAGAGGGAGAGATATAGAGATAAAGAAAGAGAGATTCAGAGATTTAAGTGAGGGACGGGAAATGGAGAGGAGCCGGGACAGGAGTCAGGGGAGGGAACAAGAGAAACCCAGGGAGGGATGGGAGAAAGATAAAAGTCAATGGAAAGACTCGGCTAAAGATCAAGCCAGGGAGCAGGAATTACTCAAAGTCAGAAAAGAGGAAACAGAAACCGATCCCCTGAATAGTTAATCGTCTGCTCTTGTCCCTTGTCTTCGGACCATCCGAGCAGACAAATCATCATCATCGAGCAGGACAGGAAAGGTAACGAGGAGAGAAGGGAAGGTGGAGGGAGGCAGAGAGTGAAAGACCTGAGGAGGACAACCAGGGCAAGAGAGGGATGAAGATGAACCTCAGGGAGATCCTGTCAGTAGGCGGATGTGTCACTGAGATCCGAGCGTCTGAGGTTCTGATCATAAAGCCCTCGTCGAGTCCTGAAGAGAGGAACCCAGGAGGAGGAGGGAATAAAAGTTTGGGCAGAGAGGATGGAGAGATTAAGGGCAGCGTGGATGGAAGGAGGGAGAGTATGTGCAGGGAGCTCAGAACAGACATGTCCTGGCTACGAGAAAAAGAAAGAGAAAAAGAAAAAGAAAAACCGTGGGGTCAGGCAACGGTCATTAAAGATGACACGAAGGACAGTGTGGACGATAACGTGTTTGTTGAAAGAGGAGGGAGGGTGAGCCAGCTGCTGAGTAAATTCGGGGAGCACCCCAAGCCCCCGTCTCGATCCAAAAGCTCGGATAATTTCCTCCGGCCCGGAAGAAGAAAATTGTCAGAGGAGGACAATGACCAACAATCTGAGGAGAGGAGGGCAGATGGGCGGAATACATCGTTGAAAGGTGTGCCAAAGCGCTCTTTTAGCTTTTCTGATCGGGTCATTTCTGCAAAGGAGAATGGTTTGGATGACGATGGGTATTATGAGAGGAATGTGCGCGAGAGGATACTTTCAGACAAGAGTATGCAACCGTGGGTCGACCAAGCAGGGAAGGAGATCAAACTGGGGTACACACGTTTTTTAGATAAAGACCGGTTCAGAAAAGACAGAGACAAACATTGTAAAAATAAAGAGGAAAAAGGAGTCCTGTGCAGAGGAAAAATGACTCAGAAGTCAACATCAAACACAGGAGTGAGGTCAAGAAAGTCGAGGCTTTTGACATTAGGGCTGCGGAAAAAGATGGCGATGTAGATGGAGATGAGGGGTTCACGGTGGCTTCTGTTAAAAACACGGAGGGAATCTCATTTGCCAGGAGATTGCCAATCAGGCAGGATGGGAGGACAAGAGCTGAAAGAGAAACGAAGCAAGTCAAGGGTCAAACAAGTTCAGAGAAGGAGCTGATTGGGGAAAAAGATTCAGGATTTGAAAGACAGGCTGAAAAGGTGTCCGACTTAGGGAGAGAAGACGGATTTGAAAGCTTCATCCAAACTGAAAGTTTGCAGAAGAGTAATGTGGCCGCATCAGCAGAGCAGGCTATTCCAGGGCATGTTCAGTACAGACATGAGTCGGCTTTCAAAGACTGCACAAATCTTCTCTGTGCAGTCACAGACAGGGCAAGAGACAACCATGCAGGGTCAGAGTGGAGTGTGTAGGGCCACAAGGATCTTACCTTTCACACAGTTTTGTCCAAACAAACAGAGGAACTTCTCAGTAAAATAGAAAGAATTGGAGAAACAACAGTTTATCACACTGAGAAGGGAGAAAGGGCATGTAAAGCTGCTAATGAAATGCCTAAAGAAAGCAAACAGGAGGGCAAACGTCCAGTGATAATGACTCTGAGAACCCTGTTCATCATATTACCCCTAGATCTCCAAAAAGGATTGCATCCACGGTGATTCCCCCAGGTCCCCTTGAGATTCAAATCCCCAGAAGTGTGTTTTATGTCGCGCAAGAAATGGACGAGAAAAACAAGGGTGAAGGTCAAGGCGACGAGGGAAAGACTGGGAAGCAGGTAGAGGTGTTGAGAGAGGATAGCTGGAGGATAGGAAAACCGTTAAGTCGCATCGAGTCCTTGCGAGAGAAAATAAGACAAAGAGAGCTGGAGGGCTGAGGCAAAAAGAGGCACAAGATGGAGGCGAAGTTGCAGAGAGAAACGACACAGCTGGGGACAGTTGTGACGAGAGGGGAAATGAGATAGAGAAAGAGGGTGAAGCTGCAACTCGTATGCGGAAGAGGTCGGTTGAAGCAGAGGGGACAGGAAGATACAGCACCGCAGACATCCATGACGGCATTTGACGTCAAACAGGAAGTCGATGTGTTGAAAACCAACCCCCAACTTCCCGTTTCTGTCCCACACTCGCAAGCAGCCAGAGAGGAAAGTAACAAGTGGGTATGCTGCCACCGAAGGTACTTCTGACAGCTTCCAGACGACTGAAGATGAGGACGACCCATAAAACATGTGGAAACAGCTGAGGCGCCACAGAAGCCAACAGGAACAGAACAAAGAAATAGAAAGGGCAGAGAGGAAAGGAACTCGCAGAGGTAAAAGCGGAGGATTATCCATCGCCTCTGGATTCTGTACAATCAAACTCCTCTCTGCAACCACATCCCAACT